AACCTATGTTTCTTCACACTCAGAAACTAAAGACAGCTCAAGCACATTATTAATATTATTGCGTATTACTATTATGCGTAGTTAACTTCAAAGTCAAAAATTCAAAAAAACATTTACATAACTCATGCTTTGTTTCTCTTTTTTTTTCTTTACTATTGCAGCAGGTAAAGTATAAATTAATTAATTCCTTAACTAAATACAGTTAACAACTTTGTGCTCAGGCACTGGTCATTATTCATGACACTTCTTTTTTTGCTGCCTTGGCAAACTCGGTTATGCTTTACTTTTTATCTTATATTTTATGTTTAACTTTTTTTTTTAGTTACAGTATCAGCTGAAGATCAGGGTAAATGTACTTTAACAGGAAGAGAATTATACTACACTAAATTTCCGCCTCCATCTACTGTGGCTCAACCAAAAATTGGAAGAACTATCAGGAAGCATATGACCCACACACAACCTTTGGATTGCTTATTACTCTCTGTGAACCTGTCTTTGCTGAATTTGAAAGAAGTTTCAGGGATTGTCAAATGGATAAGTTTGACATAGACTTTGTTATCGACCTTTCATGTGAGATGCCCTATACATTCGTAGATGAGGATGCAAGGAAAGAAGCCTTTTGCTCACTTTTAAGTAAATACCTTGGGGAGATATTCATATCTTATATCTTTGAAAAAGTTAGTAGAGTTGGGAAAGGTAGAACTACAGATGACAGTATCATGTATATTAGGGGAAATTTTGAAATGCCTTTATTAAACTTAGTAGTAAAACCAGAACTTGGAATGGGACAATCATGTGCTTATTTTCAGTCATCAGCATACTATATTGAATTTATCAGAAAGTTCAAACAGGAAGCATCTCCTGTTCTCCAATCTCATCTACCAGTATTTCTTCTGTACCTAACAGGTATGACTTTGTTAAGGATACCGGCTGCAACTTTTGATGATGGTTGTTACCATCTTTGTGTCATATAAAAACAATTGCAACCACTGGTTGCAACCACCTTTACAACCATTTTGTTTCCTTTTTTGGATTGCGACATGGAACACTAGTCTTTGTACATACATGATATAAATTTTGCTCTTTAATCTTTTACTAACTTATGATTATAAATAATAGGTCCTTAGTTGGGGATAGCTGGTGCTGCCTTTTTTAGAGAAAGCAATATGTGAACCTTTAACCCCAATAGTGCCTTTATTATATATAAATCATAATGAAAATATACTATACCAAACAGCACATATGCTGAAATCTCTAAAAGTTGCCTTAGGGAAGCTTCAAAATATTTATGATGATCAACCTTTTGAATGTGGTGAGAATGTCAATTTCTATCGCAGCTGAGTTTTCCTTACATCAATTCAGTAACAATAGCTGGAAAAACAATACAACTAACATGTATTGATCAGATAAGAAAACATCTTATCTTTGAGGCATATGTAAATGTTGAGTCTGGGGACCTTATAGGGTTGCTATAAAATTTACAAAGAGTTATTCTGATATATGCCATTCTTCTTGCTACCAAATGGGGATAGACCAAAATTGTTGGCATTTGAAAAAATTCCTGGAGAATGGTACACTCTGATCTTGCACAGAATGGTGGAATTGATCATGATGTTAGTAATGCAATCATAGAATCTGTGAAGCTGTTACATAGTAATGGTTTTGTGCATGGAGATCTAAGAAGTCCTAATATTATGATAGGAAACAATAACCAGGTGAAATTTTTAGACTTTGAATGGGCAGGTAAAGAGTGAGATGCAACTTATCCAATGCTTTTAAATACAGAATTTGGATGTTATTGCGGGGGAAAAATCAAAAGTATACATGATAAGCACATAATAAAAAATGAACTTTTGGGACTTATGAGGGGTTATGAAGGACATAAAAAACAACATCTTATATGATTGATTATTTATTTTTATTTTTATTTTATTCATTTGCAGCCAATTAATTATATGTAATAAAGTTCAAAACTAGTGTTCCATGTCACAATCCAAAAAAGGAAACCAAAGTGGTTGCAACCAGGTGTCGCAACCATCACCAAGAATTGCGACCAGTACCTATATTCAAAACCAATTGTTAAAAAAGGATGACATATTTGGGTTACTTTACACATAGAATCATCACTGAAAGAAATATGGATTGCAAGTGACTTTATTTACAACCCCCAAGGAATAATACATTTTTAGTCAATGAGTATACAATATGTATGTGAATGCATTATAAATGATAATGATGTTAAATTTTAATAGATTTTTGACTTTCTTTTTTTTATCAAATAAGTATTTTATATCAATAATATTCCAATCTTTACTAATTATAATATGGTGTGTGTTTGATAAATCGTTTTAAATGGATTCAGCAATGGCATTTAATCCATTATTTGCCATTTGTACATAATAGTAATGCATTAATTTTAGCCTCTCACTTGTATAAATTAAGGTTTACAGTCCAAACTGTTTTCTCAAAGCCCAAACTGGTTTGGGCAATTTGGGCTTCTCAGCATTTTTTATAAACATGAACATTAAAAAACTATACCAATCAACTTATTTTAAC